TTAAAGGACTGTTTACAACACTTCATCAACATCAATTTCCAACAAAATGACACCCACCTAAACTCTAATAAAAATCTGGCCTAAAATCTGTGAAACTACATACTTCTCTTTAAATGTATCTACCTACAGGAGATGAACACAAAAGCCCAATTCCAGAGATACTGCAGTCACAGAGGGACATTAATTTGAAAGAGAAGGCTATCCTCTAAACTTTGTGTTATCTAGCCATTTTACAAAGAATTTCATTTACAATTCAGTCAAAGATAAACATTTTTATTATAAAAATGTAAAACCTGGAACAAACATGGTTTCAAATTGATTTGCTTTCAACACATAACAAAAGCTAGAATGCAGATCAATGTTTCATTGCATTTAGCTTTATATAGTTAGTGCCTATTTTAGGAAAACAAACAGGAAAAGCCAATTCAACAGATGGTGTTGAAAATGACTAAGGCTGAAATCTGTGACCTACTTAGGTTGCAGACTGCCAGAAATAGTGCAAACTGAGTCCACTTTTAGGGTTAGGGTTAGTGCTAGGGAATCATGGGAATTGTTTTTTTATTCCTGACACATTGAGCCTTCTCTGTCAGAGAGCTCTGGTGCCACAACAGTTCCCATGATTCCCTAACCCTAACCCTAAAAGTGGACTCAATTTGCATTATTTCTGGCAGTCTGCAACCCCCCTAAGTGCTAAAATGCAGTGGTGGGGAGTTCATCTTACTCCCAGATTTATACCTAGAGGAAGTAATTGTTCTATTTTAATGTTCTCATTAAGATTTGTGTTAAGTATCTTGTATAACACTTAACATTTGCATAGTGCTTTCCAGTGTTGAAAGTGCTTCATATATATTATCTAGTTGAATTTTTTCCATTCTATTGGCTGATAATTCCTATGTCAATGGGCTCATGATGTTGCCCTAGACCAGGGGTAGGCAACCTTTCCCCTTTAAGGGCCGAGGGACTTCAGCTCCCAGAATCCCAGGAGCTATTGGCCAACATGGGACTATTGGCCAACATGGCTGAGGCTTCTGGGAGCTGAAGTCCCTCAGCCCTTAAAGGAGAAAGGTTGCCTACCCCCTGCCCTAGACTTTAGCCTGAGCTTTAAAATAGATTTCCAAATTGTGGAACTTATTTTGGGGAGAAGGTTAAGCAACAGGATGGCTCCTTCAAACTGATCTCAAACCAGGAGTGGACACCACTGGCATGGGAGTAACCATGTGGCTGTGATCTTATGAGAATGCTAGGTAGAATAGTATTATTTTTCTCTCATATTGCAGGTGGTTGGAAGGGAGGAGACTGAGATTGGCCGACTATAGCTTGCTTGATATAGGCCCAAAATGGACAGGCCAAATGAAGCAGCTTCCAGCCATTTCAGGGGCATGACATTCAGATGACACATGCCCCCAAAGCAGCCGGAAGCCACTCCAAAGCTGCTCCTAGGAGGCAAGAGGATAACTTTTCACTCCTACTGGCAGCCCATTCAGAACCATGGTGTCAGCCCACTTTGGGAGCAGGCCATGCAGTTGCTGTGGGCCCAGCCTCTGGCAACTCCTTCAGGGCCATCTGTTTTGGCCCAGACTGATAGATCTCAGGACAGAGATGGGATTTAGATGAGAGTAGAACTGGAGGCTTCCAGCCAATTCTAGCCACTACATTACAGTAGCCCATGATGGAAGGATAATGCATTGTTCCAGGAAGTGTGAATCAGGCTGACTCAATGAAAAATGCAGATGTATGCAGTGCCCTTCTCACAGCAATAGTAACTCACAGATACTCCTAGCAGGAAACCACTAGGATGCACCCTTTCCTTAGAAGAATCTCTTAGGGCCTCTGCAGACTGCCAGAAATAGTGCAAATTGAATCCACTTTAAGGGTTAGGGTTAGTGCTAGGGAATCATGGGAATTGTTTTTTTCTGAGACATTGAGCCTTCTCTGTCAGAGAGCTCTGGTGCCACAATAAAGTACAGTTCCCATGATTCTCTAATCCTAACCCTAACCCTTAAAGTGGACTCAATTTGCACTATTTCTAGCAGTCTGCAAAGGCCCTTTGTATCCCATTGTACTTCCATATACTTCCAATCATGTCTAGTACCTGTTGTTATGAACACTGATGGATGAATGTGTGTGTGTGTTTATTCTCTTCTGAATGAAAAGAGCCGGGGAAAGTATATCGGGAAAACTGATTGGAGCTGTTATTTTTAAGATGAGTTGAATTGAGCAGAGTAGCTGAGTGCATGCAGGATCTCGGTTCACCAGCTTCATCCATCTCTGGAATCTGTTGCTCATCACTGAGGAATGCAGCCTGCAGCTTGCAGCTTTCCATGAACTAGACCAGAGATTAGATTCTCTTCAAAAGAAGGATTTTATTCTTGTAGTTGCAGAATGAACAAAAATTACCATTTACAATTAGAGAAATCCATCATGCAGGCTGAAAAGAAAGTTAAGTCAACAGAAGAAGAGAGAAAAAAACTCCACCCCCAGGTTGATACATTTATAGACATTTGCTAAACAGCCTCTAAACCCAGCCTCCTTCCTGTGTCTTGTGTCGTGACCATTAGTTCTCATGAAACTAGATGACCTAATTTCTTTTCTTCTTGCCTTCTGAGTCCCCAGAAACAAATGACCTTGGCTGTGTTTCTCTGTGTTGTTTTCATGT